GAGAGTTATTTTTACTGTATCTTAGATCAACTTTGAACATTATCTTGTAATGTGTTTTTAAATTAGTGGATTGCTTCAATCTAGACAAGGTCCCATAGATGTAAGCTGAAAGTGGATCTAGCCGAACCATGTATATTACTGTGTTCTTTATTTTTCACACTTGTGTTTGATGTGGATAAATTGGAAATGTCTTAATCAACTTGGTAATACTTTTGCTGCACTTAAAATGGGTAACCATTTTTTAAAGTGAGTTAACCAACAACTCTCTCCCCAACATATACATACACCAGGTGATACAAAACTAGTACTTTTATAAGGATAATCTAGCAATAAATTAACAACATGTAGTACGAGTGTAGTGGGTAATAACTATTGGAGTCTCACACCGACTAGGCACGCTCAAGCCTATTGATTTATAAGAGGGGGTAATCATCTCATTCAACAAAGTCTTATTGGGTGAGAAGTCAAACCCACCTCAAATTCTATCATGGTATTAGCGCTAGGCCTAGTTGAGCTGAGTGTTTCCATCAACAAGCATGACCCAACATATGGGCTTGATCGTGAGGGGGAAGTCTTGTTTATAAAAGGGGTAATCCTCCATCAACAAGCATGACCCAACATATGTTAGTGTATGCCCTAGGAACCAATCGTGTTGTCAGTTTCATGACATTATATCTTGTAAATGTATTATGAATAAAAGAAAGTGTTCTTATTTTACATGTTTTACTACTTCATTTATATTATATTTAATATTGTATGTGAAATGTCCGGATGATCCAAATCTTTAGAAGATCAAATCATCAAAGAATTTCCTACGCAAGTAATGTTAATTGGGCAATAACATTGCATAGTAGATATGCTGAATGTCTCCATTGAATATCATGTTATGGGATTAGTGTGTGTGATTATAAGAGGTATGTCACTAAGGCATTAGCATGGATACATGGTTAGTGAATTGTTTATCAAATACGACCGATTACGATGAATCACATGGATGTGGTCAATGATGCATCGTAGGATCGTGCTAGTGTACCACTGATCCTTAGACTTGAGACATCATGGTTGGAATCAACATTGGATGCATATGGTTCATATGGTGTATAAGCATAGTCATGTCTTGTGTAATAAGCTGGTTTGGTCATATATTATCCATGTGCGAGGACAAGTGATGTCAAGATGGGATCCATTAACTCAAAATAGTCAAATCTCGAGTTCCCAAATGAATATCAATAAACATTGGAAAAGGGAAATCTCTGGCCAGAGTATAATGAATATCAGATGAAAAGTAGTTTCATGTTAATGAGTTCCATTGTGTTGATTGACAATTCGATTAAAGATTAAGTTAAAGGTTTTGACATACCATAAACCATTCTTAATTGGGATTAGATGATAGATGGATTTTACTATACGGTATGTATGATCAGAAAAGGTTCATTGGAGTTTACACTTCATTGTGGTTTAGGGGTTATGGAACATTGCTAGACGTCTACCATAATCAATGGGAGTTTCGATTATAAAGAGTTATAATGAAACATATCAGAATCTGATATTGGGCCCACGGCTAGATCACAGTGAACCAAAATGGTCACACATAAAACCAAGCTAAAGTAGAGAGAGTAATACATATCATTGATCAGATTAATGATGTTCGGATGTGCATCCAAAATAATGTATTGATGAGAAATGATTATCCATAGATAGCTAGCACTAACCAAGAGTAATAGAGATTTATTGAATATTATTATTGAATCAGATTCAATAATTGGGACAAAAGTGTATTGGTTTTATTCTAAAGAGCTAGAATAATTAATAGGATTAAAATTTGGTTTAATTATGTATTAACCATAAAACCAAAGACTTGATATAAATGCTCTTTTCCAAGATTAATTTTAAATTGTGTGAGGACTTCCCAAGACAAATTAAAATTACACTTTGTGCCCATGGTATATAAATTAAGTATTATACCATTTTAATTCAATTACAACAATTGAAAACAAAAGTACTCTCTCACTCTCTCATATTTGGCATGAGTGGATTTCATTTTAAGTTTCTTCATTTTCTTTTGAAGAATTTAGACTCCAATTTCAGCATTAAGCTTTTAATAGCAAAAGAAGTTGGTAATTTTCTATCATTTTCTTACATTAATAAGTTAATGTTTTAATTGTTTGTTTTCTACCTTATGTCCATCATCTTGATCATCTTTTTCTCTCAATTTCCATGTCCAAAATGCATGAAACCTAACAACATATGGGCTTGACCATGAGGGGGAGTCTTGTTTATAAGAGTGCAATTTAACAAGGCCTTATTGGGTGAGGAGTCAACTCTCCTCAAATTCTATCAATAACTATTAATAGTAGAGGTGTTCATAACCAGTTAACCGATTTTCTAAATCGAACTAGTTTTTCGGTTAAAAAATTTTCATGAACCTGAACCGAAACCGAACTATGTTAAGGGAAAAATCGGTTAGTAAAAACTGGTTAACTGGTTTTGAATCGGTTTTCCCTTTAACTTATTTTTATTTTGATTTTTCTCTAATTTAACTTATTTTTTATTTTGAGAGGGAAGAGAAAAATGAAAATCGGTGAGGATTGAGTAGAAATGTGTGTGTTTGTGTGAAAAAAAAAATAAAAAAAAGAGGCGAAATGTGTAAAGGGTGAAGAGTAAAGAGTAAAGAGTAAAGAGAAAAGGATTTGGGAATTTAGATTTTAGGGTTTTTAAATTTAAAGTAAAAACTTGTTTTAAAATTTCTTTAAACTGGTAACCGAACCAAATATTTGGTTTATGTATTTCCTTGAACCGAAACCGAAACCGAACCGATTCGATTCAGTTTCTGCATTTTTTTTAACACCCCTAATTAACAGAACCAACATGAAAAATTAATGCTCACAACCTCCAATCAACACCTCTGCTGGATTTACCTGAATTTTGAATCTTCATTCATACATAATCTTTTTCAAAACATTGAATCAACCTTTTGCCGCTCCAATAAATGCTGTTGATAGAAATTTCAGTTGGGAGTTATAGTTTTATGGCTTCCGTTTTTTTGAAAAATTTCATATCCAACAAGATGGTAGCTGTTTTTGCTGGGAGGATTATTTTGGATTTTGATGGGTATGGGTTGGATGCTGAGACGAAAATGGCCCACATTTTGTCTTCAATAGAGTTTACCAAGTTTGAATTCCAACTAATTGTCAAATTTTGGTGTGCTCTTTAAATGTTTTTACTGTTACGCATGGCCATCCATATTATCAACTAATGATAGTTATAATTAATTAGATGAAAAAGTAGGTCAATTTATATGATGGAAGTACAGTTGACGTTATTTTTCATACGCATAATATGATGTACCCATCACAATTAAGTCTATCTCACTTGTAAAGACGCTAATAAAGAACCAAAAACATTAATACCAAAATGTTGAGTGTTGATCATAATCCAGTGATTAGCGATCGTATTCTCTTAACTGCTTTAATTAAACTTATAATTAACACTCATGTGCAATTATTACATATCCTTAACTAGGGCTGTGCAAAATTTACCTGTTACCCCATACCGAATCGAACTAAATTTTTCGGGTCGATTTTGGGTAGTTATTCATTAGATACCCGAATTTTCCGTTTAGGTATCAGGTCTTATTTTAAAAAAAAAAAAAATTGGATACCTGAAACCTAATGTTATTAAAAAAATAAATAAAAATTAAACCAATTTTTCCTTTTTTTTAATTTTGTTTGACTCATAACAAAAGCCCTAAATTAATTTATTCCTAAAACGCAAATTTATCTCCAATTCTCCACTCCAATTCACATCTTCTTAACTTCTTCTTCAATTCTTCCTAAAATCTCAACTTCTCCAGTTCTCCTTCTCAGTTCTCACTGTCGTCCGTCATCAATCATTTGTCCTGAAGCTTTTCTCAGCCCGTCGGCCGGCCTTTGACGCCAAAAGCTCTTACAACAGGACCTCAACAACGTCAAATTTGCACTTTACTTTAATATTAGGTTTGTTTATCAAACATTTTCATATGTTATTGAATTCATAAACCTAAAGAAGAACTCACATTAATGCTGTATATAACGGATAGAGCATTAATGTCATAATGCCTACTAAATTATTGGATGCGTATAATATAGGAAGAACCACATTTTTCCACCCCAGGTTTGGTGAAATGACACTTTTCTATCATTCGTCAGGTTCTGTTAGTGTTTTTCGTTAATATTTGATTGAAAAGACGAAACTACTCTTAAATAGTTTATTATAAATTAAAATTTAGTTAAGTTAAAGTTTTTACTTGATTATTTATTAGTTCAAGTGTAAGAATATCTTTTTTTCTTTTGTTTATTTAATTAATTAGGAGTATTGATTTTTTATGTTAATTAGTAAAAATGAAAAATATTAGATATTTAGTAGATTATTGAATAATAATAATAAGATATTGATGACACTATAAATAAATAAATATGAAATTTATTTAACTTTAAAGAATTCTATAATATTACTTTTTAACTTTTTTAGATAGAGTTAATTATTTTATCTTTTTTGACTTTTCAATATTTGACTTTTTAGCTAATTAAAAAATAATAAAAAATTTATAAAATCAAATATTTAAGGATATTTTTATGTTTTCAGTAAAATATTAACAGAAAATATAACAAAACCTAACGAAGGGTGGGAAAGTGTTATTTTGAAACTTAAAGAGTGGAAAAGTGTTGTTTGGCCAAACCTTGGGTGGGAAAAGGTCGTTCTCCCTATAATATAATAGTATATTTACATTTGGAAATCGAGGCCATATGAACTGTCGCCGATGTTAATGACACGAACAACTGCTCCACTGCCCAAAATTCAATATTCCACTCCAGAGTAAACTAATATTTTGCACAGTGCCAGAATTCTGTAAATTTTGAAACTTGTGTTAAATGCTCAACCAACTTAACCAACTAGCTTTCCTGCTATTCTCAACCAATTTAAGAAGAGATGAGTTTGATCACAATCAAACAACTAAAACTTTCTTCCTCAGATAATGGGTTTGAATTTGATAAGGATGAGAGTTTTGGTTATGGTTTTGGTGTTGGCGTTGATGCCTTGTGTCTCACAATCTCTGGCCATCAATCAACTCAAACAATTGGCTGCCAAACACAATATAACTTGTATGTTAGTTTTCGGTGATTCCAGTGTTGATCCAGGTAACAACAACCGTCTTGCAACAGACATGAAGGGTAATTTTCTTCCTTATGGGAAGGACTTCTTCAATGGTCGCCCTACCGGAAGGTTTAGTGATGGAAGACTTGCCACAGACTTCATTGGTAATTCCTATTCATTCAATTATATCATTAAGATTTTCACCCATGCATGTTTTTCTGTCATTTTAGGGTTCTATGTTTCCATTTTAGGGAGCTCATAATTAATTACTATCACCTAATTTGAGAAAGCATGCTCAATATAATGACTCAAGAATATTTGCGAACTTAGGTTGATGTTTATATTTCCTTTTCCAGCTGATGAACTTGGGTTTACAAACGCAATTCCGGCTTTTCTTGACCCGAATATCAGTAAGATGGATATACTACATGGAGTTAGTTTTGCTTCTGCTGGTTCAGGCTATGATGAACTTACTGCCAATTTCTCTGTAAGTTATTTTCGTAACCTTTTGAATGAAATATACGTTGTTGAGTCTGGGTTGATTAATTCACAAATTTTGTTTTTGTTTTGATGAAACAGAGTGTATTATCTGTACCCAAACAATTAGAGTATTTTAAGCATTACAAAATCCACCTGAGGCAATTGGTGGGCGTGAAAAAGGCAGAAGAAATAATAAGGAATGCTATTTTTGTAATGAGTATGGGCACTAATGACTTCCTCCAAAACTACTACTTGGAACCCATTCGCTCCGAGCAATACACTTTGGAGGAGTACAAGAATTTCTTGGTTTCTCGCATGGTTGAGGACATTAAGGTGCTCTTCGCTCCCTCTAATTTTGGAATATAAGAATGATTTTATGTTATGTATAAGATATGGCATACTGTTTAATACAGAAATATAAAAACTCGGATGGATTTATATAATGTTATTCTTAAATTATTGAAGTGCATGGGTTCACACAGCTCTGAATGGAGGTTGTAAAAGTTTCAGCCATCTTTAAGAAGTTAGGTTAAGAATTACAACAGAAATAACTTCTGCATTTAATGTGGACAGAACTTCTTGTTTTTTAAACCCGAATTAATTACTTCGTTAATTTGCAGGAAATGAAAAGGCTGGGAGCGACAAGATTGGTCGTTGTCGGGGTCCCTCCCTTGGGATGTATGCCACTTATAAAGACATTAATGGACCAGAACCAGAGTACTTGTGTAGAAAGCTACAACAAAGCAGCTTCCACTTTCAACTCCAAGATTCAAGAGAAACTGGCAACTATTAAGGCAACTTTACGGCTCAAATCTGCCTATTTGGACTGTTTTAATATCATAATAGATGCAGTAAACCACCCCAGAAAATATGGTTAGTATATTTTGAAATATCTAAGTGAATCCAGTTATTCCTTTTACAAAACAAGCAATAAGACTGATGAAATGTGCAAAAATGGCAGGTTTTGTTGAAACTGCAAAGGGGTGTTGCGGGACAGGAACAGTAGAATATGGGAATACATGTAAAGGTTCAAGTGTATGTGAAGATCCATCAAAATATGTATTCTGGGATGCTGTCCACCCAACACAAAAGATGTATCGAATAATTGCCGAAGTGGGTCTGAAATCTCTCAACGAAAGTTTCTTGCTCTGATTATTTATGGAATTTTAGCCCCCAGGCAGGCACCTTTGATTAAAGAATTATTGAGAATACAATATTTTTAACAAGTAAAAAGAACTATAATGTTTTGTTGTTTTATGTACTGTGTCTTTTCATTGATGTTACATCTAATTTTGTTTACATTCAATTCAACCAATTGTATCAATTCTGAATTAATGAATAAATACATCATGTGTGAATTAATGAATGTCTTTAATTAGTGTATGAAAATGTTGTTAGATAGTGATATTTGAAGTTAGCTAGTGAAGATATTATAATATTATTTGACTTGTGGCTAATCAATACTTGGTTAGCTAGATTAATCGAATTAACGAATTTCTTTAATTAATGAATGCTTTAGTTCATATGAATGAAATAAAATGTCTCCCCTATTTAAGAATAAGATTTATTCTATTACCCAAGTAATCGGTTTGTCATATTACCGGTTGGCTAGCTAGATTAGTCTAAAACGGCCTTCTATACTTCAGTTGGTGAAAATGGCAAATGTAATTATAATTTGGTAATGTCCTCCTCATCTTTGAAATTGAGGACGAAAAATGGCATTCTATGGTGGATAATGTAATTAGTATTTTCACTACTCCAAGAATGTTTCAAGGTCATTTACTCAACCAATACAAATAAGTAAATTTAATGATGTTTCACTTACAAAGTAAATTGTATTTAATTGAATTACCAAAAACAAATCATTTATCACATAAACTTAATATAAATATGGCTTTGACAAATCAACCGTCACCTTTCTTTAGATACAAAATTTGGATGTTTATTTTGGAAAAGTTGTATTATTATGCAAATTAATATACATCAATCATTATATTTTTAATTATAGTGATGTAAAATACTAATATATGTATAATATGGTGACGAATTGAATTTAATAACTACAAATAAATATCGAACTGAACAGGTTTGACATAAATGTATTTGAGCGGTTGTACCTGTCCTGAGATCAGGAGTTATGAGCACAGCTAATAGAAGATGATCGCGCCAAAAAAAAAAAAGTCAAAGACTTTGGGAGGGAACTGAGACAGATTCCTAAGAATTGGCATCGAAAAAGGATATTTGAAGGTAATGTTGTGGACTTGTGGTGAATAAGACCCCTTTATCTACCCAGGGCAGATTAAAGTTAAACCCATACATATATATTAAAAAATATCGACTTGGTTGTTGCATGTATGGAACCCTTCTNAGTTTTTGACAGCTAATACCACTTTATTTTTAAGTGCTTGTTGAACTCTGATTGGTGGTGCTGACATTAGTGTGTATATTTGGCACAACAAACCCCCCCCAGTTTTTGGAGTGTGTAATTGCACTTTAAAAACTCATGTCTTAGATCTAAATGATTGTCGCACTATAAGCTACAGTCTCGAACTGAAGAGCTTGAACTATGCCTGGCATAATCGGGTGTTGAGAGCTAGGACTGCGATCTGAGTACTTGGAGCGATTTGAAGCTGAGCAGGAACTGATAACTGACATAAAAGGCCCAATAGATGAATTCCTCCTGAAGAAAGTTGACGCCAGAAGCCCAAATGCACTACTTAGAGGCCTTAAACGGACAAACCAACTTAAAACAGTCATAACTTTTGATCCGAGAGGAGTTTTGGAGCTTGTAAGATATCCACAGAAAGCTTGTTTCAACCTCTACGTCGTGGCAACTGGGGGACCAAGTTGAGACCATTTTCAGGGCCAAAATCCATCGTTTCAGGGCTGTTTTGAGTTTTCTATGCGTTTTTTTTAACGCTAGCAGTTGGTCGCGATCTGATAACTGAGAATTGATCTCGATTTGAGAACTAAGAACACGACCTGAGGCTGTTTGCAATCTCAGAGCTGAGAGCTGATCGTGATTTGAGAGCTAGGAGCTGATCGCGATTTGAGAACTGAGAACACGACCTAAGGCTGTTCGCAATCTCAAAGCTAAGAGTTGATTGCGATTTGAGAGCTAGGAGCTGATCACTATTTGAGAACTAAGAACTGATCGCGATCTGAGAGTTGAGAACACGACCTGATGCTGTTCGCAATCTTAGAGCTAAGAGCTAATCACAATTTGATAGGGGCTCAACTTGAGAGCTTAAGGCGTGCGATCTGAACGATCCATAGCGTGCGATCTCAAGCAAACGAGCGAGTTTATGAGCTCGATCAGAGAGCATAAGGAGCTCGATATGAAGAGGAGCTTTAATCTGAGAACTCGAGAGCTCTTTGCGATATGAGAGCAGAAGGAATTCGATCAGAAAGCATATAGCACAAAGAGTTTGATCAGAAAACGCAAAGCTTGACATGAGAACACAAGGAGTTCGATCAGAAAGCATGAAGCTTGATCTGATAACTCGAGATCAGCGATCTAAGCACTCGAAAGCGCAATTTGGGTGCTCAGAAGCATGATCTGGTCGCTCGAAAGCACGATCTAAATGACCAGAACGCGTGATCTCAACGATCTTGAACGCGCGATCTAAGTGCTCGGAAGCAAGATCTAAAAGCTCTGATGTATGCGATCTGTGATCTGACCATGCGATCTGAGAGTTCTGATGCATGCGATCTACGACCTGGTCACGCGATTTGAGAGCTCTGATGCGTGCGATCTACGATCTAACCACACGATCTGAGAGCTCTGATGCGTGCGATCTTTGATCTGACCATGAGATTTGAGAACTCTGATGCGTGCGATCTTAGATCTGTCCACTCAATCTGAGAGCTTTGAGAAATCGGATGCATGAGATCTATGGTCTGACCACACAATCCGAGAGTTTTGATGCGTGCGATCTTTGATCTGACCACGTGATCTAAGAATTGTGATGCGTGCGATCTGCGATTTGACCACGCGATCTGAGAGCTCTGATGCATGTGAACTTTGATTTGACCACGCGATTTGAGAGCTCTAATGCGTGTGATCTGACCATGTAATCTGAGAGCTCTGATCTAGAACAGGCTTCAGATTTTCACATCTGATAACGCGAAGATTTTGAGGCTTGTTGGAAAAACATGGAGAGCTGATGTGAATTATGTCTCCTTCTAGCACCAAACTGTTGATGTGTGATTTGGATACCAACGAATCGTACGTGCAAAGTGCTAAGTAGCTTTTAGAAATTACACGTGAATAAATATGATAATCTAATGCAGAGATTGAATAATAAATAAAAGATGATTTTTAAAGTGGTTCGGATGCCTAACGCAAGTCTTACGTCTATTGTTATTTTATTATTCTTTGACTCTTTTTCTGATATTGCCTGTAAGACGTACAAAAATGGAGAAATGTTTTGTCTACAAAGAAAAAAATAATAAAGCTCAAATGTTTGCCTAGCTCTCATATGCCCAACCAACCCTTTTTTCATGAAGAGAGATGCCCATTTATACACCTTTAATGTCAATGTAATGAGTACTTTTGCAAGTTGTGTTGACACGTAGGGACCACTCCTTAATCTTTATCTTAAAATGAGACAGGATTGATATAAAATATCTCTTGGAGATGGTTTGAGTTTTTGACAGCTAATATCACCTTATCTTTAACTGCTTGTTAAACTTTGATTGGTGGCGATGATATCAGTGTGTATTTTTGGCACAACAGGTTATAATTAAATTCAAATATTTGAGTTCATCCATATAAAATGTAGAATTAGCTACTACATAATACAAGTTACATATATTTTTTATTTACACAGTAAGAAAAAGAATGGTGTTATTTGAACCCAACAAAACATTTTCTAAGCCCCAATTTAGATAAATTTTATTTTAAAAAATTAACTTTAAAATAGATTTCAATTTTTCTTAGATTCAATAGTACCACAATCTCATTTATTTTCAAAGGATTTATAGCTTCCCAATCTATTTATCACTCTCATTCTATATTTACCTTTCTCGTTTGTTCTTCTACCGTAATTTGGTTAATCTTTCAATTGTTTCATGGTTATGGAAATATCTAAACAAGTATGTATAAAAATATTATCCGGTAGCTTTATACCATATTATATACGCTTCGCTTATATTTAATTAATATCGAACAATATTTCTTTTATTTATGTTTTTTAGATATATCACCTTTCACATCATTTCTCAACTTCGTAATAGAAATAAATAGTAGATAATATATAGGAGGATAAAGGTTTTGGCTTTTAATGTCCTGAATATATAGTAGATATTGAACATTTTCTTATTTTTTATGATCAAACCTCTTTCTCGTTCATAAAATTGTTATATATATAATGTAATGACTACCTAGTACCTTCATCATAATGAATGTCGTTTTCTTCCTTATTATAACTTATAAAGAAATTTAGCATGCGTTCATCTATAAGAGGATATAACTCAACTCATGTATATAATGTTGTAAAATATATAAAACATTTAATAATATAATATATAAAAAAAGTCACAATTAATTTTTTTAACTAAAATTTCACCTCTACAAATAAATTCTTGAATGGAAATTAATTTCACTTTGTATAGTTGATGGTTGCAATAATTAATTTTTGTAATTGGTCAATGAAATTTACCACAAAACTAAAAAGGAAATATTAAAATCATTTACGAAATTTTCAAAACTAAATTATTTAAAAATATATTGAAACAAATATAATCATTTTGGCAAGTGTATACCATGGTTGTCAGTAGGGGTGTTCGGTTCCGGGTACCCTACACTTTTTGAAGGAACCAGAATCGGAACCGAAACCGACGGTTCCTTGAAATTTGGAACCAGAACCGGAACCGACGGTTCCGGTTCCTATTCCTAGGTACCCAGAACCAGAACCTGTAACAACGGTTTCGGTTCCGGTTCTGGGTACCCTGTAAAATTACATGACCCCCCAAAAGTTTTTAAAATGGCAAAAAAACCTTTAAAAACTTACAAATACCCCCCCACCTGGCACTTGTTAACAAAAATAAAATTACAAATTATAAATTCAAAATTACAAACTCCATTACTTTGTAAAGGTAGATTCTCAAAAGTCAAACCAACTTACTTTAAATGTTATGAAATATAAATATAAATGTATTCACATTACTTTTTCTACAAAAGTTTTTATTAACCCCCCTAATATTTAATTTTATTTTATATTAGTCTCGGTTCCTGGTTCCTGGTTCCGGTTCCGGTTCCTAACTATAGGAACCAGAACCGGAACCGTACAGTAACGGT